GAGTGGGGATGATCAAGAGCTTATTGTTAGACCCACAGAGATCCCTTTTAGGGACCTAAGGGAAGGTGTCAAGAATGTTGTTGGATATACAACTTTAGAGTTTCGAAGAGATACGGGCTGAGGTATAAGACTGGGCACTCATAACATACACATAATACTTGAAGCCATGATATTTGGGAAAAGAAAACACAGAGGGAAGAGAACCAATGACTGACTCTGGGCCTGTCTGATATTTACAGAGGCCAAATAAGTGGGTACAACCAGTGAAGGAGACTGAAAGGGAATGGTCAGAGGGTTTGGAAGAAAACCAGGAGAGTGTGGTGTCCTGGAAGCCAAGGGGAAAAGGGTTTCGGGAAGAAGGAAGTCAGCAAGTGTGTCAGATGGTCCTGATAGCTCATGTAACATAATGACTGAGGATCAATTCACTTAATCCTTACACAATCCTTTGAGGAAGCTACTGCTACTATCCCCATTTTACAGATGTACCTATGCTTCACATAGGTATAGAAAGACCAACTAATGGTGTAGGTCAGGTATCTATGCTCTTAAACATTGTACCACAAGTATATGATGGCTTTTCTTTTGTCCTAGATGACACCATGAGAATACGTTTGCTATAAACCAAGTGCACCCATCTGTGGGGTTTATATGGCTATATGGTGTAGAATAGGAGGTCGACACCCTGTGTCTTCAAAAAGTCCTCATAACTTCAAGGAAAGAGTCACCTTGAGGTAACAAAAGAGCCTTCCTGAAAAAGCCGTGCTGTTTTCTCTTTAAATGTAGCAGAAGCCTTTTTAGTGAAGGTGGGGCAGAATTTTGATGAGTGAGAAGCTCAAATATAATATTTTTATAAGGGTTTTCCTTCCTGATTCAGGGCTAAGTAGTGACCTCTATGTCAATCAAATCAACTACTAATTCATGAGTTCTTGGGGTCTCTGATTTCTCCAAGTTGCCCAGGAGTCCTAAAGACAAAGGCTACTGAAAAGTAGTACCAGTGAACCAAGAGGCTAATGGCTCACAAATGAGGGCATCAAACATCTGCCCTATTAGATTACTGAAAGACTAACTAGAGGATATATTTAAAAGGCTAAGCCTGATGCTTGCTGGGTAGTAAGTATTCCTTGCTATTATATGTGTCCTTAAGGATGGTTTCTGTCCTGTGTCCATTCTGAATTAATAGTTCCGGCCATGTCCACCTAATAGGTTGGTGCCAGCGTCATGCTGACTGTGAAATATTTTTAAGGATTGCTCTTAAGGGTTGCCCTTTTAAGGATTACCTGCGAATGTATGAGTTTGTGTGTCTGTGAGAGAGAGAGTGTTTGCAAATTAATACATATCTTGGAGTTATGATACTTAACCACTGGAAGAGAGCCCTGGTACCATGAAGTCATGGACTTTTGAAACTGGAATCTTATGTCAAAGAATTCAGTACTATAATCACAGTCGAGAAGACTTGTTTTCTAACTTAATGTGACAAATAGATCCTAAGGTGATTCCAAGTGTTGCTCACTTCATGGTGTTCACGGATTTGTGTAATCCCCTCCACCTGAAGTTGCTTCCAGCCAGCGAAAGTGAGGGGATGCCCTCTCGTGATTACGTTATATAAGACTCCATCTTAGCAAACTGAAGCTCGATCCTTTTTTCATGGGCTTGATAAAGTAAATAGAAAGTTGGTGAAGCCCACATGGTAAGGAACTATGGACTGCCCCTAGGACAAGAGAGCAACCTCTAGCCAAAACTCGGCCCAAACCAAGGCCTTCAGCTATATAGCTGTAAGGAGATGAATTCTCCTAACAACCTGAATGAGCTTGGAAGTGGGACCTTCCCCAGTCTAGCCTCCAGTTGAGAAGGCACCCTGGCCAACTCCTTGATTGCAGCCTTTTGAGATGCAGAGATTGCAGAGAACAACCAACTAAACCACGGCATGTCTTAAACTCTGACCCACAGATTATATAACATAATAAAAGTGCATCATTTTAGACCAATAAGTTTGTGGTAATATGTATACAGGAATAGAAAATGAATACAGTAGGCAAAAAATAATAAAGGTGAGTTATATATATTCATAGACTATACAAGAGGTTTTTTTTTTTTAGAAGGGATGGCAAGCATTGAAAGATATTTGCATTATGCCACAATGAAATTTTCATGAGAGTAAAATCAGACATCAATAAGCAGAAAAATCTAAGGAACAATAGAAAAACATGCAAAGAAATCATACAGTGAGTAAAGGACATTGTGGCAATTGATGGAGGAGATCTAAATTATATAATAAGTGATTCTGAGATAACTGGTTAACTATACGGAGAAATGGAGTTGGAACAATATCTTATATTGTAAATCAAAATAAAGTCTAGATATAACACAGATATAACACAGTAGCAGTGTGTTTTGTCAAATTAGAGATGCCATTGATTTTGAGATGTGTCATCTTTTGTTTCACTAAAAATCAATTGATCAGCGAATCAAAAAAAATCAAATGTAACAGATTCTAAACTGAATGTCTGAGTTCCCCTCCCCAGCTCGTTTCACCCAGGTTGTTTCTCAGCTCCGAGGACAGAAATCCCAACCTTGCGGATACTTTGCAATTATCCTTGATTTCTTTGTTTCCCACGTTAGATCCTATTTACCTGGAACATACTGTTGTCTTTACACTGAAAATGTGTATAGACTCAAACCCCTTCTCACCAGGGCCATTGTTGTCTTTTGGTTTGGAGCTGCTTCCAGTGGGTTCTAGCTACCAAGATCTTTTGCTTAGATTTCTGCAATAGCCTTTAACTTGATTTCCTGCTTCCAAATAATCTTCAGTACAGCAATTGGAGTGTTCTAGTCATACCATAAATTAGATCACCCCCTCTTCCACTCAAAATCTTCTATGTGGCTTCACTTTTATTCAGATGAAAAACTAAGGTCTCTGTACTGGCCAATGGAAATGAAATATTTATGCCCTTTGCCTCAAAATTTTAAATTTCTTAGGAATAAACACTGAGGAAATAATAATTCTAACTGTAGACATGTGTTATGTTAAAGGATGCTTATATATATATATATATATATATATAATACAGATATTTTCTGTATGTATAAAACATATATGTAAAATAGCTAGTAGCAAAACAAAACTCTGTAACTTAAATATCCAACCACAAGATTTTTCAGGTAAATAATGCTTTATCTATTGGACATATTAGAATAATAATATGCATCCTTTAAGAAGAATGATTGAGTATTATAAAGCAATATGGAAAGGTGTGTGTGGTCAAACTACAATGTTCTGACTTTACCTAATTAAGCAATGCAATTATATTTACAATATTATTATGCAATGACAAGCAGAATATATAGTGTTAGGCGTATACAAATTTGGTAGCAATTATCAAAAAAAAGTAAATGCATATAGACCAAGATTAGAAGATAATCATCAAAAATAAAAGACTTGTTTTTTATTTTATTTATTTATTTATTTATTTATTTATTTAATTTATTTTTTTGAGTAATAGCAAAGGTTTATTGAGTAATAGCAAAGTGATAGTACAAAGCTCCCGAGGAGGGAGGGGATCTGAGGGGGTTGCCCAAAAGGCTTGTTTTTTTAGTACAGTGGTATTTATTTCCTTCATATATTTGAAAAATATGCATTAATATTATCTGATTTTAAACAAGAATTAAATGACTTACAAGGTGGTATAATTTGTATTATGACACTGCCCATAAAGAACCCACCACAGAATCCTAAAACCAAGTGGTCACAGCTGTGTTTACCTTTCTTGCGAACGGGCTGCTCATCCACTTGCTTATCTTGGGAGCACTTCCTCTTCCCCACTGTGGCACTCCACTCTGCCATTGTGTTCTTTCCCCCTGACGTTTTTCACCTGTCAGGGTAATATGCAGGTATCAGCCAAGAGAAAGAGACTCTTTTGAAACATATAAGCAGTGGGCAACAAGCAAACCAAAGCCAGGCCATTCCATCAGGGTCGGATATAGGGAGTCACTATTCCCTCTTGGCTCACCACAATAGGTGCACCGCACTTAAGGTGTGGAACTGTCCATTACAAGGATCTAGAGTGCTTGCTGGGTGCCAGTTTAAGAGTGCTGGCTTTGGAGCTAGGCATTGCCAAGTTCAAATCCAGGCTCATGATTCACGCGATGTGCCAAATGCCACCAGGAGCAAATTTGTGTATTTCGGTTTCTTAACTATTATTATTAATAATAAGCCCCACAACCGCCGCTGCACTGGCATCAAGGATGAGAAGAGTTCCATAGACTGCTCATGTCTGGCACCCAGCAAGTGGTTGGCACATGGTTTATTGTCATCGTTGTTGAACTACCACACATGTGGGTCATCTCAGAGCTGTACTCTTCTGGAATGCTCTACCACACTGAGAACCTGGCTTCTAGTGCCCCTGATGATTCCCCTACTTCTTCCCCATTTGACCAACTGAGATTGTTGCTGTATGTATGTTGCCAGTACTTGGGGACTATAAATATGGTGTGATACGAAATGATAATATCATTTTAATCCAATATTATTTCTGGCCACAGATGATGAAGTGTCTACAAAGTTCTGAAATAACTAACATGGAGATCTTGACACTAGTATTGTTTGGGGTCCCTACAATTTGGGCCATGACTGCCTCAAGTGAACAAAGTTCTGTCATAAACAGGATCTGTTTGGTTTAAGGTTATGAATATCCTCTTGTTTAATTAACCAGTAGTTGGGATTATGAAGTTGGTTTTAACTGACCCATAGCAAGAAAAACTGAAACCATATATACTATCCAGCAGGGGAAAATGGAGATAAAACTGGATGATGAAAATGTCATTCTTTAGCAGTTGGGTCTGAGATTAAAAAAATACCGCCATGTTTGAATATACCCCGTTGTAGCCACCATGAATAGAGGCTTAAGACTCTTAGTCCTTTGAGCTTTTAATGTTGGATCATGTTCTTAGTTTTCCTTTCCTCAAACTCTTTGATGAGGGTCGTGTGACATCTCACAGTTGTCTCACCAAGAATTCAATAATTTCTGGATGGAGGGTGGTCAGCTTTTTTGTAGAAGCACCTGATATGGATATCCTAAAAAAAAAAAAAAAAAGACACCCAAACAGGCATCCTCAGAAATGTTAATTTATATAGGGAAAAATTATATAAATAGAAAAAGGCATGGCAGAGCTTGAATTGAGACAGGAAGACAAGAGAACCCAAGAGGTGAGTACAGCGTAAGGAGTGGGGTAGTGGAGTCAGCTCGCATAGGCCGGCAAAAGCAGACCGTTACATTTTTAGGAATTTTGTAAGCTGGTTGTTGAAAACAGCCATTACTGGCAATTAAATTATATAAATTCAGAATTAAATAAATTATACTTTGAAAAGGAAGAAATGTTTACAGCTCATGACTTTGTAATTATTTCACTGCATTTTACTATCAGGTACGCTCTTGGGATCATTCATGTTTCCTGCATCTATATGGTAGGAAAATGATATAAAGGCATGCTGCTGCTTATTTCTTCCTAAGTCTGAATTCAGTGATGTCACGTTAGTAGGTCAAAGTTGGCCATAATTGGATATTTCACACCAAAAAAAAAAAAAAAAAGACACAAATGCTACAGATTTGGGCTTGATTTGTTGATTTCCTATACTTAAGAAATTTATTGAATAATATTATATTAGAACTAGACTCATTATTGATGAAGTGAGTGATTTTTAAAAATATTTTATTTATTTGTCAGAGAGAGAGCGTGCGCACAAGCAGTGGGAGTGGCAGGCAGAGGGAGAAGCAGACTCCTCGCTGAGCAAGGAGCCTGATGCAGGACTCAATCCTAGGACCCTGGGATCATGACCTGAGCCGAAGGCAGATATCTAAGCAACTGAGGCACTGAGGTTTCCCATGAGTGATGTTTTTGCTTATCTAATTATTAATCAAAAATGTACTTGTGGCCTGATTTTGTGGCACTATGGCTGGGGAGAGAATTATAAAAATTCAGAGTGAGTTCTGCAAGAAATAGAAAATTACACCAAAGTTATAGATGTAACTGGAAAATGGGGTAAGTATTTTAACTTAAAACATGTTATTTTAAAAATGATATAAAGATACTAGTAACAAATTTTATGTTACCCTTGAGTGGTATTATGAGTTTGATTAACATGAACTTAAATTGGGCAATTCATGCATTTTGCAGATAATAATGTAGAAGTAATCCCTTCAAACACAAAAAAAGCTAAACAGTGGAGAAAGGGGAACCCTCCTGCACTATTGGTGGGAATGCAAGCTGGGGCAGCCACTCTGGAAAACAGTGTGGAGGTCCAGCAAGACGTTAAAAATAGTGCTACCCTACAACCCAGCAATTGCACTATTAGGTATTTACCCTAAAGATACAAATGAAATGATCCAAAAGGTACCTGTACCCCAATGTTTATAGCAGCAATGTCCATAATAGGCAAACTATGGAAGGAGACAAGATGTCCTTCAGTAGTTGAGTGGGTAAAGAAAATGTGGTGTGTGTCTATATATATATATATATATATATATATATATATATACACAAAATGAGTATATATATATATATATATATATATATATATATATAGTGGAATATTACTTAGCCATTAGAAAGGAGGAAATCTTACCATTTACATTGACATTGATGGAACTGGAGGGTGTTATGCTGAATGAAATAAGTCAATCAGAGAAAGACAGTTATCATATGGCTTCACTCATATGTGGAATATAAGAAAGAGCACAGAAGATCATAGGGGAAGGGAGGGAAAACAAAATGGGAGGTCATCAGAGAGGGAGAAAAGCCATGAGAGACTTTTAACTATAGGAAACAAACTGAAGGTTGTTGGAGGGGAGGTGGGTTGGGGGGATGGCGTAACTGGGTGATGGACATTAAGGAGGGCATGGGATGTGATGAGCAGTGGGTATTATATAAAACTGATGAATTACCAACACTACATGTACTATATGTTGGCTAATCAAATTTAAATTAAAAAACTAAAAAACAACTAAAAAATTTGGTTTATTGTAATTCAGAGTGCTAAAGTTGAGGATGGTTCCAGTTTGATGAATATAATTTGTATGAGAGAGAAATCATTCAACAGTAGATCATCTATGATATTTAATGACAACAAATATATTGAGAAGAATTGGGAGATTGAGATTCAATTTCATTTGTCAGATTGTGTCTATGTTTCAACCTTAGGTTGCCTATAGGTACAGAGTTTAGCAAAAGCACATGAAAGTTTTACACCTTAAATACATAAAATGTCTGTTTGTTAATTATACCTCAATAAACCTGAAAAAAGCACAGTATTCTAAGAGAATCAATTGACTATATAGAACTTATAATAACAGTATTGTATATTTTATTATTATTCACAAACTGTGTGCCCCACATTCTATCAGTAAGATTTATAATATACCCATCTGTGTTTGTGCATGCATTTTTCCTCCTGTGGAAAGCCAGTTGTGAAATATTCATCAACATACCACCAGGGTGAGGAAACACATCTCCCCCTTGCGCCTCTGTACTTGGTGCAATCATTTATTGATGAACCTACCTTTTTTTACTTGGCCACCAGCATTTAGGCATTTTCCTAGAGGGTTTTCTATCACTTGACACTCCTATCTCAGGAATTCCAAAGAGGCAATTTATAGGGAAGTGGCCCCCTGCAGGGAGCAAAGGGCCAGTTTCCCCATACGGAAGGAATAGATATGAAATCTGGTACCTGTGATCCGTGTTCATTCCTGTTTTTTTTTTTTTTTTTCCCCTAGCATAAGATACTTGGTCCAAACTCCTCTACAAAATGAGTATATTGGGACATTCATTAGGTCCTCCAACTTTCCACAGAGGTGGTGGTTCTCACTGAAAAGTATAAGGAGGGATTCCATCCTACACAAGCACCATAATTAAATTCCAAGTGTTATTCAATTCCACTGACCCATGGCTCCTGGACCAGTTCTAGGAAACAAGGACCCTTATATGTACCAGTAGCTCATTGGCATTTCCAGGGCTGTTGTGATCAGATCTGTGTAACATGCTGTCCATCTTTTTGGTTTATGAGCAATCAGGTTATTGCCTGCCTGGACAGGGTTCTCAGACTACTTGGATTTCATGTCCTGCTATCTCCTTTAGGTGGCTTCTTTCAACTGTACTCAGCACAGTTTTCTGGGACACCGTAAGAATTGTATGCTTATGTCTCATGAACTGAAGTGTGTCAGTGATGTTCTACCCATCCAAACTTTGAACATGATTATTTCATCGACAAGCAAAAACACAGAGCAATTCTAGTGTGATCTAGAGATTGAAGTTACTTTATTCTCTGTTTTATGCCTGGACCACCTAGCAGCTGACCTCTTAAGATGGAGAGTGATTTCCTGTCCTGGGGTTTGATGCTAAATTCTGTGGGATGAAAATATTATGGGATGTCTATTCCTGGTTTACCACAACTTTGCCTGTTCTTGGAGGCGTGCCTCTGGGACCTTTCTATCATGGTGGGGAGTGGGTTCTTGAACTCTCCAGTTTTGAGTCTGTTGATCCAGATGGCAGCCCCAGTGAACCCTCTCTAGTCCATGGAGGACATTTGTCCATTTTCAAGTTACTTTCAAGACTTATACCCATGAAATAGAATCTCAGTATTTACCCATAGTGTGCTCAGAATATCAGCTTTCATAGATGCAGAAACTTAAATAATAACTTGGGTAAAGTAATCTGAAGTACTTGTAGCTTTCTACTGTCTCTATACTAGAAAACTAGGACGTGCCTTGTCCTGGAAAGCTGAATACCCAATGCTAGCAGATAGGACCATATCTATGGTCATTCTCCCAGGAGATTTTGTCAGCATTTACTCACACAGCTAAGCAGGTGGTTGGGCACGGACAGTGAATGGGAATGCATGTAAGGGAAAGTTCCGAGAGCATTTGGCTGCCAAGGAAGCATGTAAGCAAGCATTACTCCAGTAAAGCTTAGTGACCTCAAAAAGGTCTTGTGGCAGGATGCCCCAGCAGTGGGGTTGCAACGGTAACACAGTTGCGCCCTGGCTAGCCTTCAAGTCCTAGGGCTGTCCAAAAGAAATAATTTAATGTTGTCACACATATATTGTATATCAGTATGTCATATATGTGTTTTGTGTGGCATATATGTTTTGTGTGTATATATGTACATGTGTATATACATATATATGTATATATGAAAAAATTTTAAAGATTTTATTTATTTGAGAGAGAGAGAGAGAGAGAGAACTCATACACACACGATGGAGGGACTCTGCTGAGAAGGGAGCCCAATGCGGGGCTCAATCCTAGGACCCTAGGATCATGACCTGAACCAAAGGCAGATGCCTGACCGACTGAACCATCCAGGTGTCCCCATATGCAATTTCTTTCAATAGCAACCTTGATTTTCCACTACTGCCCAGAAAATTGCTGGTTCCTTGGGTCAGGGACTATATATGGCACCCTGAGAAGTTTCTGCTTCAAAACAGTGTTCACAGGGAATCACAGTGAAGGTCAGCTTCCTGTCCACCATTAGGGTTAAAGGCTGTGGGTGTCCTGCTAACAGCATTGCATTTATACCATCTGTGAGGTCACAAGTACCGTCATAAACCTGGAGCTCCCACATTCCCGCCTTGCGGGCTCTCCTGGATTAACTCCTCTCAACTGCCGTCAGCCTGCCCTCCATCTTCTGACCCTAGTGACCCTCAATGCCCCATGGCTACATTTCCCTTCCATCCCTGCTGTCTCGGTTTGCTTAACTCTCCCTCATCTCCTTGCTTCATGACTCAGCGTTCCTCTAGATGCCATCTTGGACCAGAGTCACCCCCAGCCCCATCTGTGTCAAAGTCCTGGACCCTACTTGATGTGGGAGGGAAATGAAAAGGGTGAACTGGATCTCAAAAGGTTAGAGTCCTTTAGGCCCCCAGGAATTGCCTGTTGCTGCAGTGAGCCTGTCCAGGAGAAAAGCCCAGTACAGACTTCTCGATGGCAGTGAATCTTGGCTTAAGGGATGGAGGTGTGGTTGCCCATTTTTTTCTTACCTGAAATATTTATTTGCAACCAACCTACAACTCTTCCTCTGTGTTCTGCCAGCTGTTGGTATAAGGAGCTATCCTAGCTGCTGTTGCTAACTACTAGCCATCAACCCTAGATGGATATGTTGACCCTCTCTGTCCAGGCCAGCCCGTTGGTAAATAAAAGAGCTGATATTTGTTGACGAGCCCCCGAATTTAATCCCTTAAATTCAGCTTTTAAATACCTCACGAGAGTGCCTATTTCTTGGAAATGTCTTGCACAGACATTTTCCACATGTTTATGGATGATCAGGCATAAAACTTCAGCTCCCTGCTTATACCCCACTCCCCCCTGCCTGGTTAGGAAAATAGGGGTTTTTCACATTTTCACTCACCTTTCAAAAAATTAATATGAGAAAACCTGGGACTCGGGCAGGATATTAAAACTGTCCGTTGTTACACAGAAAGAACCCTTAGAGAGTTTGCATATCAACACCAGAGTAAGTGACTTACCAACTTAGCATCTGAGGGAGGACTTCCACTGAGAACCTGCTCCTTCTTCCAGCTCTGGCCCTGCACCTCCTGGCAGGCAGGGTAGGATTCTTCGCTCCCCCGGGGCTGGAACTGCTAATCATTAACGAGATTCGTCCAACTAGAAATTGAAGGAATGGTGCTTCTGGTCTGGCAGCCTCTGAGGAAGTTTCCAGAAATGTGTGGTTTCGGAACCTGGAATCTAAGAGCCTCCCTGGCTCTGCCTTCTTTTTTTTTTTTTTTTTTTAAGATTTTATTTATTTATTTGACAGATAGAGACCAGAAGTGGGCAGAGAGAGAGAGAGGGGGAAGCAGGCTCCTGCGAGCAGAAAGCCTGATGTGGGGCTCGATCCCAAGACCCTGAGATCATGACCTGAGCCGAAGGCAGAGGCTTTAACCCACTGAGCCACCCAGGCGCCCCCCAGCTCTGCCTTCTTCCTTACTGATGTGAGCGTCTTGAGTCTGTCTCCTCCAAACCCGAGGTGTGTCCTCTAGTTCAGACATCCTCGTGAGGCCTTCGCTTTGCTTTGTGGTATCTTTAATGACTTCAGTTCCGCTCTGGAAAGGCGAAAGAAAGAAAAGGATTATAATTAAATGCCAAAGTTGAATATGTTTTTTTTTCCCCCTTTGAAATTTTGTTAATTTTTTTCTTGGAAATCCATGAGATACAACATTACAGGTAAACTTGGATTTCGCGCCTGCTTTCCCTGGTCCTCTGGTGCGCATACACCCGTACACACACACACTCCAAGAACAAAAACATTTCACATAAATTAGGTTGCTCCATATTCTTTGATTTAATACTATCTATAGATGCACTCCTACACTATATAAAATAATGCTTTCTTTATTTCCAAATTTGTACACCTGCTATCATGCACTACGGACTTCTCTGTAACTCACTTTGGACAATAGACGGCATGAATTGGGAACACTCACGTGGGCACCATGGAGGCCAAGCCTTTTCAATTTCTTTTGCTTGACTTGTTTTCATCTCTGCCCCCATGTGGTTGAAAACATCCTCACTGCTCTCCAAGCGCGTTTGTAGTTCTGCTCATCCTTACCTCAGAGATGAGGTGACGCTTTAGATCGCCAGCTTTATGTAGATAGTTCCTTCCCATCCCCCCACCTCCACCCCTCTCTTCTGTGCTTAGTGCCTGCACACCTATCTCCGTGGAGAACATTCGGGTCGATCTCCAGTCTTGGAAAATTAAACCTGGTTCTGACTCCTGGCAGCCCTCCTTGCTTCAAGGCCTGCTTGTCACCTTGACTTTAAGTTCCTTCTTAGTTTATGGCCCCAGAGGAGGCCTCCTTGTGATTTCCAATTTGACTCTTTATACCTATTTTGAACTGTGTTGTGGGGGACTAAACCACCTCACAGCTCCCTGGTAGAGGAGTGGGAGCCTGGCAGTCCATCCCTGAGCTCAAGAATTCAGAAGGAGGAGCCCGGGTCTTAGGGAGTCAGAGATACTGTTTTCCAAACATTCATTATGGGTCATTATCACACTTTTTTTTTCAGGTTAAGTTTTTTAGTCTTTGTAAGAGAAAAGAAAAACGGATTTGTCCATGTGCACTTCAGGACTTTAAGCACCAACAGTCTTGGTTCATTACGCAAGGGGAAGGGATGTCAACTTCACTTTCCTGTGTAAAAGATTTTTCCCTGAGTCATGTTGGAGGGACTCTGGACCCTGAGATAATGAGTAACAACGCCCAAATTCAAATATCACGTGAAATATCGCTAACCCCGAAACTGTACCCGTCAGAAAATGTGGTTTTGGTTTTGTTATTTAATTTTTAATTTCATTTTAAAATGCCCTTGGGTTGTTTGTTCTTCCATTCTATGAATTTGACTTGATAGAAACAGAATCATGTTGCTGTTGTGTGGGAAAAATCCAACTTGGCTAACATCTATAATTAATTTTTTTTGACATTTAGTTTATGGATGCAATTTTTTTAAAGATTTTATTTATTTATTTGACAGACAGGGATCACAAATAGGCAGAGAGGCAGGCGGGGAGCAGGGTATGGTGGGGAAGCAGGCTCCCTGCTTAGCAGAGAGCCTGATGCGGGGCTTGATCCCAGGACCCTGAGATCATGACCTAAGCCAAAGGCAGAGGCTTAACCCGCTGAGCCACCCAGGCGCCCCATAATTAATTTTTTTAAACTTGAATATCAGTGGAAATATTTCCTTGATTTCGATGGTAATAGCCACCTTTTAAAAATATATGTTCTCCTTTTGAAAAGTGTTGTTTTTAAATTACTTTGTTTTTGTCATGTGAATTATTAGAGAAGATGAAGGGCAAGTTTCTCCTTTGATAGGGTTCAAATTATCCTGAGTTGTTTTCCTAAGACTATAAACAACTGTTGTTAATAATCAGTAGGATGACAATGCCACATGATGTGGGCTGTGATTCTGGGTACTATGTCAGAGGATTCCAGTGCACCATCCTATCGTGAGCATAGGAAGCCTGTTGTTTCCAGTCTAGGAGGCTGGGAGGGGCCTCAGCAGAGGACATACACCTCCCGTGCACACTCAGTTACTCAGGAAATACAAAAGCACCTGTCAAGCAAACACATCAAATGAGTTTAAATCCTGAAACAAAAGACTTTCCTAAATAGTCATGGTTATTCTCTGGAGCTTGGCTGCTTTTGCAAACATAATTAAAAAAAAAAAAAAGGTTTTATTTAGTTATTTGAGAGAGAGAGAGAACACACATGAGCAAGGGGTGGGGGCAGAGGGAGGGAAAGAAGCAGACTCCCCACTGAGTGGGGAGTCCAATGCGGGACTCTATTCCAGGACCCTGAGATCATGACCTGAGCCGAAGGCAGCCGCTTCACTGACTGAACCACCCAAGTGCCCCTCAAGCATACTTGAAACCATGAATGCTGTATTGTTACGTCTGCTTAGAACCTTACATTTTCATCATGGTTCTGGCAAATCCTTTTTTCTGCCAGTCAAACTCCTGTCTAGCTTCACTGTCCCTATAGTGATTGGGGTAATGAAGCTCACAATGGGACCTCATCTCTGAGTTTGGCTTCTATGGGCAAAGCAGCAAGGTGTGTCTCTGTCGGCTACACAACGCAGCCAGTTACATGCTGGGTTGCTACAGTGCAAATACTCCTTGCCTTTTCCTTAGACATGGCTTTCTGCCAGTCTGCTTTCCGGCTTCAATGGCTCCTATTTTAGCAACCCCAGTACCAGGAGTTCAGGGCTAAAAGTGCAATATCATATCCTATTTAGGATAGCATCCATAGGAAAAACAATACAATGGTGACAAATACAATTTTTAAGAGTAGATATGGAAGAAAATTAGGAATGCTAATGGAATGACATGTTGTCTGCTTCCAGATAGGATAATAAACAAAGGAAAGTGGCTGTTTGTATTGTATCATAGCTATCAAGTAAGTAAGACAGTGGCACATTTTCTGACCAGCATGAGTAATAAAAATATATCACACTGAGTTTTTATCCAGGGACTTGGAACAAACATATTTTACTTGTTGATGCTCACTTATTTGGAGATCATCGAAAGAAGCAGGAATAAATCATACAACTAAACAAAACCAAGAAGCATACTTTGCCTACAATAGAAAAACCGATAAATGAAAAGTCAATTGCTGTCATTATTATTATTAATACCTCTGAACTGTCATGTAATGATATTCATAACTGAAAGTTATTAAAAATCTAACGTACCCAAAAAAATAAAATATAATTACATTAAAAAGTTAGAGGTAGTAATCTATGTCAAGGAAATAGCTTGACAAGATTACTAAGTGCAATTCAACAAAATAAAAAGGAAAAGCATTCCTGGGAAACTGAGACTAAAACTAAATTCAAATTAATTTCAAGCTAAAGAGTATCTATAAAACCTAGGACAAACATTCCACTCAAAGGTGAACCCCCTGTAAAAATTAGGTACATAAAAGGGGTGCTGGTTACCACATCTCTTCACCAGCGTGTTAGAAGTTGCAACCAATACAATAACACAAGAAAGAAACGTGAAATGATTGGAAAAGAAGTAAACCTATAATTGTTGATAGGTGATATGATTGTCTACATGGGAAAACTAAAATTCTATTCATAAGTTATTATAAGTCATAAGCCTTCAGCAAGTTTGACAGATATAAAGGTGACTTTTAAAGTTAGATTGCATTTTTAGGTACCAGCCTGAAACAAAAAACGATCTTATAAAAAGTGCTGGAATTCAGAACAACAATAAAAGTACATAGTAGCAACAAAAGGAAATAAGACCTAGGAATAAATCTAACAAAAATATGGCACATCTTTATGTAGAAAATTGCAAAACTTTACTGAAAGGTATTAAACTAGAACTAAATGCTAAGTATAGAGACATAACATTTTCATGGACAGCAACATTCAGAAATGTAAAACTCTCAGGTCTCCCTAGAGAAGCCATAGATTTAACACAATTCCAATCAGTATTCCAACATGATTTTCCATAGAACTTGCTAGCTGGGGACTCCTGGGTGGCTCAGTCGGTTAAGCAGCTGCCTTCGGCTCAGGTCATGATCCTAGCATCCTGGGATCGAGGCCCATATCAGGCTCCTTGCTCGGCAGGGAGCCTGCTTCTCCCTCTGCCTGCCGCTCTACCTGTCTTTTTAGTGATTCCTTCGGATGGGGTCACTTATTTAACACTAAATATGTACTGGGCACACTTCTGAACACTTTACATACAATAACATTTTTGCTGCTCACTCACAGCAAACCTCTCTGGAAGGTACTATTACTATGCCCATTTTACAGAGAGGTTAAATAACTTGCTGGTAAGATATAGAATTGGGAATCTAATCACCCAGGGAGTCTGGGAATATTTGTCATTTCTAAGAAAACTTTGTTTTTCATGTTTCTGATTCTTGTTGTAAGAATATTTATAACATTCTGGGGGGATGGGTGAAATAAGTGATGGGGATTAAAGAGTACGTTTCTCATGACGAGCACTGAGTAATGTATGGAATTGTTGAACATTGTTGAATATCATACAGTGAAACAAATATAACTGTATGTTAACTGTA